TCACAGTACATTGTACACATGATGTCCGAGCACTCAGGCTCCTTTGGTTCTACACATTTGCAAATATCGCATCCGTTCTTATCTTGCTGGAATCCCTCGTCACAGAACATAGTACACATTACATCTGAGCACTTGTGCTCCTCGGGTTCCACACATTTGCAGATGTCGCAACCAAACTCATCTTGTTGGAAGCCCTCTTCACAATACATGGTGCACATAGCCTCCGAGCACTTGTGCTCCTCGGGTTCTACACACTCACAGATGTCGCATCCAAACTCGTCCTGTTTGAATCCCTCTTCGCAGTGCATCATGCACATGACATCCGAACATTCATACACGTCGCTAGCTTGAGGTTTGATGTCCATTTCGCTATCACGAATTGTAGGATTGGCCATGGCTGAGAGGGCCATGGATGCCAGAAAGGTGACTGCAAAACTTGTAGATTTCATGATTTTGTTATCCAGTATGCTGTTTGTTTGATATTAATCTGACGTTAGCTCTCAAGTTGTTGTAGTTTTTATACCTTTTTATCAATCTATGTATGTATGGGGTTGTTCAAAATGCACCACTGCCATGACTATCTACTCTCTCTCTCTCTCGTAAAGTCTCTTGAATAACTTCTTCAACGGTTTTTTTTTTACATCTTTGGCATATTTAAATTTTAAAAAACTATCGTGAGCCGTGAGGCTCGTGAGCCGTGAGGCTCGTGAGCCGTGAGTCGTGGCCTGACCGAGGAACACATACAAATAAACGTAAAAGTGCATATTATTATTTTCAACGTTTTATACACGTATTTACTATTTTAGGAAATACAAATATACGTACATAATTTAAATTAGGAATACTATTATTTTATAAAATATGCCATATTTATGAAAAAATATATGGCATATTTATTTCATATTTATCATTTTCCTAAAATATATTTCGTGCATGTTTCATATTTATTATTTTTCCAAAAATATATATGTTACATATTTATTACTTCTCTTGTATAGTATCCTCATGTTTACTATTTCTCCTATATTTCCACATATTTAAATACTTCATATTACAGTGTATTGACATAGCTTACTATTTAGTATGTGTGACGATAGTTGATACTAAAAGTTAAAAACACATTGATAAACAGTCCTTGTGTATGCACAACACATATGCACAACGTAGCATAGTAATCTACAAAGTATGAACATATATATAAAGCTTACACTTGGCGTATGTACACTAAAAAGATAAAAGATCGATATAATAAATAAATCACGAGTTATATGACATCTAAACACGCATTTTTGTAATGTCATTATTCTGAGTCATAGAACTCGACAGAGATCATTTAGCAGTGAAGCAGGAAGATGTACAGATTAAGCTGCACTTGAATACTGTGCACTGGGGTGGCATAAGTGGGCATGTGCTCTTATATTGTCACTGTATATAAGTCAAATAAACAAACAATCTATATGTTGACTTGTGTATATAATATATGTGATTGCTTGTCAGTATTTCAACACCACAAGAGTATAAAACTGGAACGAAATTTTTTTCGCCACCTTTTTTTGTTCGAAAAATCAATCAATTTTCAAATAGGTAACAATTTGCCACCTTATTTGAAAAAGGTGGTCAACATGCATCGCGCGGAAACATGTTAAATTGCAACTGACGCTATACTACTGGTACGATAGCTCTGGAATTGGTAATATAGCTCAAGGACAATACTAATGATAGGTGTGAACAATTATTTGTATGCCTGTGAATTACAAAGTTCACAATGTCCCTTCTGGCAGGATATGTGACAAGTGTGGATTACGTCGTCTATGACCAGGATGCGCTCAGGAGGCAAAATATCGAACTGGTATGTATTGTGAAAAAACGTTTTTCGGGTATCACTCGACTACAACATTGTCAAAATAAGTGTCCAACATGTGGGTTTGTAATTTTTGATGTTATTTCGTCCTATTTGGTATAGTTCAAATTACAGGGTCTTTCACGCATACTTGCAAAGTTACACAGCTATATATATGGACACATATGTCCATGAAAACACAGATATATATATACAGACGATAGTATATACATATATATATA